CGCCTAGCGCTTTATCGACCATAGATTCTAGAAACTTATGCTCTTTTTCTGTCGCATATGTTAAGACAAAACTCTTCAAACTTCCTATTGTCCGTTCAACGGACCCCGTGCCTCGATGATCATTCACTGGGGAGTACATTAGCTCGATGCCTTCTTCGTTACAAAAGCTTTTAAATTTATTAGATGTAAAACATGATCCCTGATCAACGTGGATCTTCCGAGGTACTCCATGATGCGTTATGTACTTATCAAGGAATTTTAAGACCTTATCTGACGTATTAGTGGTAGTAACCATTGCTGACGGCCACCTTGAGAATCGGTCCGTAGCAACCAGAACATATTTCTTACTTTCATTCAAGTAATTTATCGGCCCCCAGAAATCCAACTGTAAACATTCATTGGGTTCCCTTGGTTCAGGGACCTTACCCATGTCTCCCTTGGGTAATAACGATTTTAGATTCTTATCCGCTTCCGTGCATTGCTGACAGTACGTGGCCTTTGCTGCCAAACTGCGGTACATGTAGGGATACCAGACGTCACGCGCTGCTTCGAACATATTTCTTTTACCGTGATGGTAATAGTGTGTCCGCGATTCAACTGGGACTTGTAAAGGCAAGGGGATGACCAACCGTCCATCCAACCACACACAATCGTCCCGTAACGACAGATCGTTAGCGTATTGAGCCCAGTACTTCCCAATCTTCAGAAGTTCTTCTTTCAAGTTAGTCTTCTTCTCCAATGCTTCTTTTACTCGTACTAAGTTCATATCCGCTGGTATGTTCGAGGCAACAAATTCTAAATTAAAAAGTTCTGGTAACGCTTGGGACTTCTTGATAACCTTGCAATCACGGGGAATGATGGACATAATTTGCTGATTCGGATTAACAGTAGGAAAAAGCTCGCCTGGAAATTTCGAAGGTATGGAAAGTACTGTATTAATTTTTGAATCCCGTGTGTTTTTAGTAATTGCAACAATTTCAGGGTTAATGACAGTTATTTCATCGCTACTCAATAAATTTTCATCTAATCTAAGCGGAGAGTTGATCTGAGGTTGTAGTATATTCGGAGTGTTAGTTTGGGAATCAATTGTAACATTTTCAACATTTTCAATTTCAAATACTGGGAAAGAACAATTAGAGTCGCTATCCATTTTGTTTGAGTGTTTTGATGTAGGCAAATTTAACCGTCTTCCAAGGGAACAATATCTGGAGCACACTGAATGTCCCTTGGATTTCTTTGATTTACGCGTTATGCAAATTGATCGTTTCCTATTGGTCGTTGTCTTCACGCATGACTTTCCGCCCTCAACCGTCGCTGGTTGTATGCATGTTATCCGTTCTCGCTTTTGATTGGATGAAAACCGTCTAGACTGTTTAGAACCAGTTTCTCCAATATCCTGATAATTTCGTTTACCAAGGGGTTTTAAATCATTTGTAAAACCAAGGGATTTTCTAATCGAAGCGATTTTTGCCACGGTGAACAAATTATCATATTGACTTATCGGTTTAGGGGGTTCGCTAGGATGCCTTGACAAATAATCTGCCAATCCAATCTTGGCGCCCGGTTTGTGTTCTATTACAAAGTCAAAAGGAATCAGTCTGTCTAGCCAACGTGTCAGTCTTGAAAAAAGTGTTTTGTTTTTCTTGTTATTCCCGTTAAGTAATGAAATTAAAGCCTTATGATCGCTAATAACTGTAAATGATTCTCCTAGGATGAAGTTTCTGAAATACTCGGCCCCCCATACCACCGCCAGCATCTCAAGCTCGTTAGTGGAATATTTTTTCTCGGCTGCGTTTAAAAATCGTGATGCAAAAGATATCGGGCGCCACCCTTCTGTACCCAATTGCTCTAAAACCGCTCCAAGGCCATTGTGACTTGCATCGCAAACAACTCTAATGTCTTTATGATTATCAAAGTGTTTTAATTCAACTATGTTCGCTACCCCCATTTTAATGTTTTGGAAAGCATTTTCGCATTCCGCGGTCCAGTTATATTCGTTTTTCTTGCTGAGGAGTGGCCTTAATGGAGCTGACATCTCCGCTATCGCTGGTAAACATTTATGCAAGCTGTGGATTGAGCCCATATATGACTTTAATTGCGTGACTGTCTTAGGAGCTTTCAATGCGTCTATCGGCGATGTTTTTCGTTTAAGAGGCGTAACCCCCGTTTCGGTTATACGATGGCCAAGCCACTCGCATTCTCGTTTCGCAAACTCGCATTTTGGTAACTTCAAGGATATGTTTTCGTGGTTTAGTTTCCGGAGGATCTTTTCAACCAAGGAGATATGTTCTACTTCCGTTCCGTTGGTTGTAACCAAAATATCATCAATAAACGCGTTCGCTTGTGGGAATTCGTTTAAAATTGAGTCCATTACTCGCTGGAACTCTGCCGGCATTGACGTTAACCCGTAAAACCCTGTTCGGAAACGGTAAGTTCCTGTCGACCGTCCGCCCACCAAAGAAAAGTTACAGTGCACGCTTGTTTCTTCACTAAGCGGTAGTTGCCCATACGCGTACGTTAGGTCCATCGTAGTAAAGTACACCTCCCCTTGTTTTTTCTCGGAAATAAGTTGTCCTATTGTATATACAAGTTCTTCTATATTTGGCATCTGGTATTTGTTTTTATGCACTTGTTTATTAAGCTCTCGTGATTCCAATGCTAATTTTACGGACCCGTCTTTTTTTACGGTGATGACGATCGGAGAAACAAAATATCGATCCGAACACTCTTTCAATTTTTCTATATGTCCCTGGGTTAATAGCTTATCAATTTCTTTGTCCACTTTTTCTTGGAGCGTTACCGGCACTCTCCGTCCCTTCTGCTGCACTGGTACAAGATTTTTGAAAAATTCTGCTTGAACTTTGTAGTTCCTAATTTTTCCAACTCTAGTAAAAAGTTTTGGGAATAGCTTACTGAAGTATGATTGCCATTGATCCATCTGCTCATCCTCCGGTTCATCGTGCCCCTCCTTACATGAATTGTCCTCCGCCCCCTGGATGTTCGTGACTTCCCCCCTTGGATCTGCTTGCATCAACTGGAGTCCGAGTTTACCCATCAAATCACGTCCCACGATGGATGGTCTGGTCCCCCCAATGACTCGGACTTCTGCTGTCGTCTTCCAGCCGTTTGATGCTAACTCGAGTTCCATTCTGCCCAGCATCTTGATCCGATTGTTACTGTAGTCTCGAAATTCGTCATCGTCAGTGTTATCCTGCTTCAAGTTGATTCCCGCTCTTCCCACTGTTCTTCTCAAATCTTCTAGTGTTAGAATGGATATCGGCGATCCACTGTCGATCCAAATGTTCATCGGGTGCCCATTAATGAATATTTTGAGTTTAGGCCCAGCAACTTTCAACACCGTTTCCTTCTTCCGTCGAATTGCCTTAACCATGTAATCGTCTGAACTTTCTGATGACCAGCTGTGGTGTTCTCGTTTAACGAAACCTACTGAATTTGCCGCAGCTTGGGGCTCCACGTCATCCGAGGGGGTATCTTCTTCGTCGAATAGCTCATCCCCTTGGATCAATCCAACCGGTTGTCCCCCCCCCCCCCACCCTGGATTGTCGTTTTCCCCGGCAAGTCCTCTCAAAGTGCCCAATCTTTTTGCAGAAATTGCATGTGACGGCTCTTGCTGGGCATCGTTGTCGGTGTTCTGGGGTGAAGATCGGTTGATCGCAGTTGTAACATCTGCGCTCTTACATTCGATCTTGTGTTCGACCTCCTCCACGATGTGGATATTGACCCCGTCCCCTTGGCATTCCTCGTCCCCTGGATCCGCGAATATTGCTGACTGGTTCCGTTTTGATCTGTAGGGAACCCCCTGGCGATGGATGCGCCATTCCCGTGGAACCGGATACGGCGCCCTTGTAGCTCCTTGCGTACTTGTCTCCTCTTTCATATGACATTGCGATTCGCAAGGCTTCTTCCGGGGTTTTAGTTTCCCTACACAGCTCGTTCTCCGCGTCCCTGTTCCTCATGTTGAAAATAAATATGTCTCTCACCATCTTCCGCTCCTGGGTGCCCAAATTGCATCTTGCCGCCATTCCGCTAAGTTCTGCATAGAACGATTCTAGACTCTCGCCCTCCTTTTGTTTTCTCGACAACATCTGGTACATCTCGTACGTTTCGTTCCGCTCTTTCTGAAAAAGAGCTACACAGGTATTCAAAAAACGTGGGTATCGTATTGTTTCCATATCTAAATGTGGATGCTGGTTATGCAAGGCTCTCTGTCCCTCATGTCCCAGGCATAAATACAGATTCGATATCAGTGTACGTTCACCTTCTGCCCGTGGTTTTCCACCAATGTCACCCAGGTCTGTAATCTGTGCTTCAGTTAATGTCGATGCAAAGTAGTATTCTGACGAGACTAGTCCATGTTTCGCCACCATCGCCCAATGAAATCGTTGTTTCCAGTGTTCCCATAAAAGTTGCGGTTCCGCCTGATTCGGAGGCCAGAAGGCCACAATTCCAAGGGGGTTTTTCCCCCACCATCCACTGGCTGCGCCATAACAAGGGTTAGTAAAACGATGGCTGTTAAATACTCAATTGACTGTATTCTAGTTCGCATAAATAAGAGAGTGAACTAGAGGTCAATACATAACAGCTAGACAGCTTTAAGTTGATTAACAGGCAGGTACCAAACTCACACTTAATTAAAGTATGAGAAATAAAGAATAGCAACTAGGATGATTGACAACTAGGATGATTGACAACTGAACATATTGTAGCCCCTGACAGCTTTAAAAATCGGACAAAAAATTAACAAAGAATTGAGAAAAATATTTATTTTAATTATATATTTGCTATCCTAGTTTTGTTTGTGAATGTGTAAAACTATTTGAACGTTGCTTAACTTTTGCAAAGTTCGAATGGCTTAGGAAAGTTATAGCTTGATTCTCACTAAAAGGCCTTTCATTGATTCAAAAGAGCATTCTGAAAACTGTGATTAGTTTTTGAAATAATACTTCAACTGCCAAACAACAAGCATTAACATGATTAGGTGCGGATCTGGGATTTTTACAAGGACTTTAAAAAAATTTTTGATAATTTTGTTGACGTTTTTTTAAGGTTGATTAAATTGATTTTCCGAGCTCTCCCAAAGCACGAAGAAGACCCTTTTTGGCGTAAATTTTCTAATTTTCTGTGTCGCAGGGTTTGAAAAAACAGGCCAAGGCATTTTTTGGAACATTAAGAACAAAAAATTGCGTTTCTTGGCGCTGTCCCCCTCAAAATTAGTAAATATTGGCACCAAAGGCGCCTTTAAAAAAATTTTAGGGTCCTTCAGCCAAAAATGGATATTCAAATTAGTACAAAGGGGGACCCTTTGGGTCGGTATAAGGTCGAATCCCTGAAGATGGGGCGTCCCCCGTCCCTTTCCTAAATCCGTTGGTGGTTATTTTTATTCTTTTGCTTATAGTTCTTTTGCTTAAAAGCATAAACTGTCTATTGTACAATAATGAACTATTGTTTAATCAAAACTATCGATATGTAATTTGTATAATTGAATTTTCACCAGCACTTTTGATGCACAATAGTGGGGCCAAATTCATCATACTCCTGCTTCGAGATCAATATCTGTTGGAAGCTGCTCAAAGAAGCCAGAATAGATCCCCCGATCCAGGCAATATATTTCCTCTCAGGAGGAGCGATGACCTTGATCTTCGTTTTTTTCGGCGCCAGGGAAGAGAGTTCCTTTTCCATGCGGTCTGCAAATCCGGGGAAATAAGTCGTGCCTCCGGACAAGACGATGTTGGCAAATAGATCTTCTCGAATGTCTTCATCGCACTTCATGATTGAGTCGAATGTTGCCTCGTGGATTCCAACAGAATTTTTGTTTATTAAGTTGGGTTTGAAAAGAACCTCGGAAGACGAAAATCGCTCGACTCCCGTTGAAATCACCTGGCCGTCGGGGAGCTCGTACGATTTTTCGAGGCTGGAGCTATAAGAAGCTGTGAGAAGTTCCGCCTCAAAGTCCGGGGCAGTATAAGCCAGCTCCTCTTTGATCTCTCGCACAATTTCTGATATGAAGGAGTATCCACGCTTCTCCAAGAGTTCCAGATAGTAGTCTAAACAGTTCGTGTTTTGATTTTATCGCAGAAAAAAGAGAGCCAGTTTAAAAGGTAAAACTAAAACATTTCGGAAAAATTCGATTGGTTTTTTAAATCTATAATTGTATGACAACTGTGGTCAAAGCATTCAAATCAAATTGCTGTAGAATTTTTACTGTTGTTGGTTTTTATTGGTTCAATGTTATAAACTCTAACAATAGAGATTAAAATGCTTAACTTACTAGTTACGTCCTTTCCGGCAAAATCCAGTCGGTCGCTTTTATCAGGCAATAAGAAACGGTCAAACACAGGAGCAATGCATGATACACCTTCACCAGAGTTTATTACGATTCCAGTCGGTCGTCCTGAGGCGTAAAGCGACAGAACATTTTGATTGGTAATATGTAACGCTGGCGTGTTAAATTTCTCGAACATCGTTTCGGTCATCTTTTCCCTGTTTTCTTTCGGACTCAAAAGCGTATCAATGAGCAGCACCGGGCGTTCTTTTGGATCCACTTGAAGTTTTTTGTAGTAGATGTGGTGCCAGATCTTTTCCATGTCTTCCCAGTTGGTCACGACTCCACACTCGATCGGGTATTTGAGGTTGAGGATTCCTCGCTTGCTCTCTGCCTCGTCTCCAACGTAAGCATCTTTATGATATATGCCTGTAAGTCCCATGCCCGTTTGCAGACGTCCAACGACCGAAGGGAAGTCAAATAGTGGGCGGTCATCACCTGAATAAAAATATTCAACAGCTTTACAAATTTCTTTTCTTAACAAATATTTGAATTTATTTTAAGAAATTTCATAACTAATCTAGTTTAAAAAGAAGTACCGGCGAATCCGGCCTTGATCAGTCCGGATCCGTTGTCAATGACAAGAGCCGCCGAATCTCCGTCGTTCATTTTGAGAAATTGTTTTTCGAAAGATAATTTCTTTTTATATTGTAATCTTTATGAATAAACGACTGAACAATCTGTGATAGTGAACAAATTAACGAACATGAGTGTATAATTGGTGATTCTACTGTAATACATTCTATAGTAACCTGAGCGTAAGATTGATTCGACATTAAGTTAAGTAGTACAGCAAACAAAGGGAAATGTTCAAAATCGTTCAATCTTCGAAGATATCGCCCCTCCTATGCCAGAAAACAAAATTTGACAAAACCGGCAAACCCCCCCCCAAATCGGAACTAAGAAATCTAATGTTATGGAATTCAGAGGAGCGATACTAGAGATGATTTGGCCCGGGCATACAAAAATCGGGACCCGTCAGACCCTCGGGGGGCAAGTGATAACGGTCCCCGGAAGTGTAAATAACCCTATCAGAACTCGGAAACTAGCGGCGGTGTTGGCTCAAATTCTAGTATGTTGTAGGCCTAGTTAAGGGGAGCTTAAGTTTGGAGACCCAGAACCCTCAGACCCCCACTTCCGGTTTTATGCCCTAAGTAAACAAACCCAACCCTAACTTCCGGAAGTCGTTTCTCGGATTCCAATGATCGCAGGGAGCTGAAACTTGGAGGGATGATAGGTAGTGGCAAGATACATCTTGGATTATAATTTGAACCAAATCAGGCGGTTGGACCACAAGCTATTAGCACTTGGAAAAACACCCCCTTAGACCGGAAATGGGCATTGTACGCGAAATGATGAAAGGTGGCATAGGTATTTTATTGCGGCAATGCACACAAAATACGGACCCCGAAAAAAGACCCCTGGCGAATGAAAACCCTCCGGTGACTCCTTCTGGTTTTATAGCCTTTTCCCAGAAAAAGTGATAATGGACCTTAAAAATGGTATAACTTGTGAAGTAATAATGGGATATGAATGAAACTTGGTAGTTAGGACCCCCATGGGATTTTGAACCCAAATATGGACGTTTGACCCCGGTTGACCCCTGGGTGACCTTAAGTTGACCTTTGGGCGTTTTGACCCCAAACTTGCATGGAAAACCCCGAGATTAACACCGGAAAGTGGCGTATTTCCCAGCCCAACCCCTGGAAATTAGAATCGGTCACCTTGCTTGAAAATTGGGAGGAAAACTTGTATATTGGGAGAACCTTGGAGTAGAGGATTCAATTTAAAGTGGACTTGGTAAACATTGGGTTCAATTTAGCTTGGTGAATGCGCTATTAATAGAATATCAATTAGGGTAAAAGAAAAGTAGTCCCAGAGGAATTGGTAGTAATAGAGGCATAGCTTGAGAATTAAGTTTCCTAAATAGTATGAATGGACGGGGATTTTACTTGGCTTCCCATTGGTGACTTTCTGGTTTGATTTGACCCCTAATAGACGAACTATGTTCCCCTGATAGCTAGAAGGTAGAGCTTGGAATAGAGTACAGAGAGAAATTTTAGATGCTTGGAATGAATCAGCTACCCATGAAAAGGGTCTCCCCCTACCCTGGGGAGAACGGAACGTTAACGTGATAATTGAAATGAAGACCTTGGGAGGATTACTAAACAAACATAGCATGGTTTGGAGGTTGAGTTGAACTCGAGGGCTGAAGTCACAGAGGTCAAGAACTAGTTGATTAGAATCGTACGACATTTGTTTGCTTGGTCAACTTGTGACAGCTACCGCATACCGGGTATCTAAGAAGTGTGAAAAGATTGATAAAAGAAACCGAAGTTGGCATGTAGCAGAGTTGACAGGGGGAGGGGTATAGCCTTAAAACATGTGCGGTCGGGTGATTTAGGCGGATGTCAGGACTGATAGGGAATGGCGTGACTTAATTATAACTAAGTGTAGAGAGAGATAAGGAACTGGAGGGTACCGGAGAGCCTATAAGAGTCAGAACAGTGTGAGCTACCATTGAGAGTAGTTGGTTCTCAGTCAGAGAAGAGAACAGTTGTTAGCTACTATTGAGAGTAATTGGTTTTCAGTCAGAGAAGAGAGCAACTGATACTGAGAGAGAATATAGTTGGTTCTCCGATAGATAGAGAGAACAATTATTGCTAGTTAGTCAAGTAATTGGTTCTCGGAGTAAGAGACCAATAGATAGTTAGTTCTCATCAGAGATTCTCTAGAGAGAGAGAATAGTTAGTGTTAGTGGAGTTAGTTGACAATTAATTGCAATTAGGCAAATTGGCCGATAAATCGCGGACCCTTTCCTCTTCACTCGCTTAGTAGATTATATCCTGGCCACTCAGAGTCTTCTGTAATTGGACATATAACCATCTAAATTAATTTATCATTGGAAATTCTTGCGATTGTATCGAGTAGACGAGACAAGACAGCCAAAGAGCATTACACAGAGGGGCAAGCAACATAATACAATACAGAATAGTTACCACCAAAATAACCCTTTCGGGATTGTAGAGAGTAGTAAATCTCGGTCGCCCCCACTGAATTCACTGCCCAAGGGACGACTTTGCAGTGTCGTTAGGAACGAGAGAACGAACCTAGATCCCCTAAATCTACAATTTTTAGAATTTTGACAAGATCACTAAAAAACAGTCGCGCCGCTTTCCTTTTTTATACGTTCACTCGGCTGTCCACGAAAACCTAAAAATAACGTTCACAGTTTTTGAATGATGTAATTGATATTTTAGATTAACATATTCAGCAAAGAACAAATGAGTTTATAATGATTTCTTTTGTAATCCATGCACCGAACAAAAATAAGATCACAACTCAAGAGCAAGATTTTCCTTCTGATGAGCGGATTTTCTTGGGTAGGGTAAGGGGGGTTGTGTTGTTATATCTCTACCCGCACTGACAAAAATAGATTAGGATAAAAAGTCAAGAATAAAATATTTCAATTATTTTTTCTAAAGATTATGTTTTTTTTGCCCTGTCAGCAAAAAAGTGATTTTAATGAGTCAAAAAATCCATCCAAATCGATCTAAATAGATTTTTTGAATTGATCGAAAACTTTCAAGAAAGATCGACTTAAACCAATTTTAAATGGATTTAAGTGAGATTGTGGTGGATTTAAGTCAGTTTCGGATGGTTTTTATAGAGTCTGAAAATCCATCCAAGTCGATTTCAATCGATTTTTAAGACACTGAAGCCGATCCAAAATTTTCAAAAAAGATTGATTTAAATTGATTCAAAATCCATTTAAGTTCGTAAAATGTACATTGTTAATCAATTTGGATCGATTTAAAATCGATTTAAAATAATTTAAATCAATGCGAAACCATTTTTGTCTTTGCGGGTAGCCGATCAAGGTCTAAATTTTACAAAAAAACTATAATTTTGAACAACTTTGAAGGCAGCAAAATACGAGAAATGACTAAAAACGCTGACTGAAATTATTGGTTTGTGAAAAACGTGCAGTTAACAGAACAGATCAATAGGTTATTTCCTTGTCAAAACTAGAGTCTTAGAAAAACATTGAAAAACAATCTGAGGCTTAGAAGAACAATTTGAGGCTAAATGAAAGCGAACAGTAGTATAGTGTGTAGCAGGATATCAAACCATAAATTTCATCCAATCATGATTTTCGAAAATGACGAGCTCGTGGCCAAACAATTTTTTAGAAATTTATCATCACTTTTTTTCTCTGAAATAAAATGCTTTTTGTTCGGTTATCGACTAAATTAGATTCGTATGAGTAAACTTATGAAAAGCAACCAATGCAACTTTTTTTTTCAAAATTACAGCTCATGAAAACTTAAATCTTGTGCAAATTTTGAGATATTAAAAATAATAAGATCAACCGTACAATTGCACCCCCCTAAGTGACCTACCGTAGAACGCCCTCCCAAGGCATGTATCAACTTATTTCTGTTTAATTCTGTTTAAAACATGCATTTGATACAAAACGCTCAAAATATAATCATTTTGAAACTGTTCGTACATTTTTTTTGATAGGCTACAAATTCAGTTGAATCGACGTTCTATTTATGTTCCAATAATTTAAATCTTCTCAGTGAGAAAATATGATTTTCTCCTCAAAGTTATTGATGAAAAATTCGTACTTTCGCCTCCCTTAATCGACTTAGGTTGCTATTGTAAGGTTAATTCAAATATAATTCACAATCAAATGTCATAGACCAAATTTAATCATTAGCTGTTCTGTTCATGAAACACTTCACGTAGAATTCCACTCCCAAAAACTGCTTGATGCATGATCAAAGTAGTTGATGCATGATCTAAAAGTGTAGTGGAGATGAAAAAAACTGCTATTACTCAAATTGCGAAAAATAATATTGTTTGTAATAATGCGAAACCCAACCCAGAACGCTGCAACTGCTCTTTAACGTTTATGAAAGAGATTAAGATTTAGAAAAACATGAAACAACCTATAAAAAAAAGGCGATTACTTGTTTCACAATTTTTTGAAAGTTTCTAAAGTGATGTTTTTGTTCCGACTTTCGGATATTTATTCTCGCTGTTTTTTTCTCTAGACAAATTTCGATTTTTTATACCAGCCGAAACGTATTGTTGTCTTAAACTCAAATTTCACCTGTGATCTTTTTTAGTAAATTTTATGATGGCTTAAAGATTGAGATCATTTTTTAAGCAAACACTGACTCATAGACTTAAAAGGCAGTCGGCACATTCAGTGCTTTGCCTGATACGAGAAGTTTTGTTGTTCCGACTTTCCCAAAACATTTGTGCTCGGGGCGTTCTTTTTTCTTCAGACAATTTTCTACAAGCCATTTTTTACGAAATTTTTTTATATCAGCCAAATATTATTGTTGTCTTGAGCTCAAATTTAAAAAGATATTTCACTTGTGATCTTTTTTTCGTTCCAACTTTCGAAGAAAATGGAATTTTATGCTCGGCGCGGATTTTATTATTGAGTCAATTTTTATCGATCGAAATAATGATTTTCAATGAAAAAAAATTTATACCCCCTTGAAGATATTGACTTCCGGAGTTTAATTTGAAAAAGATATTTCCCCTCCAATTATTTTTGTTAAGTTCTGGGGGTGTGAAAATTGCCAATTATGGGCGCTTTGAAGAGTTTTTCATAATGCTGAGAACGTAACGCGAAGTATTTTTGCGTGGCAAGTTATCCCGCACAACGAATGTGTTCCAAATTGAATTGAGGCTAGC